AATTTTTTTTTAAAATATTTATCCCTAAACCCAAAATATATATATATATATATATATATATATATATATATGGAAAGATTTTAACAAGTTTAGTCCACTCCAATGTTCTTTTGAGCTCCTGAAAGAGATCAATTGGTGTCCGCACCTATACTCAAGATTCCTTCTGGATAGGGTGCATTTGTGATATACAGTGATGCTTCTTATATTGACCTTGGATGTGTTCTTCTGTAGAATGAGAATGTAGTAGCTTATGCATCTAGACAACTTAAGCCTTATGAAAAGAAGATGTGTTCTTCTGTAGAATGAGAATGTAGTAGCTTATGCATCTAGACAACTTAAGCCTTATGAAAAGAATTACCCAACACATGATTTGAAGTTATGTAGTAGCTTATGCATCTAGACAACTTAAGCCTTATGAAAAGAATTACCCAACACATGATTTGAAGTTAGCTGTTATTATTTTTGCATTGAAAATTTAGAGGCAATATTTGTATATGGAGACATATGACATCTACACAGATCATAAGAGTCATAAATATATTTTTACTCTTGAGGAGTTAAATATGAGCCAAAGGTGATGGTTGGAGGTAATGAAAGATTATGATCATATTATTTATTATTATCCCGAGAAGGCAAATGTAGTGGTTGATGCCTTGAGTAGGAAGTCAATGCTAGTATTGCCACTTTGATCACCAATTAGAAGCATATGTTGGAGGGCTTGAGGAGTCTTGATATTGACATTCGGATTTGAGTATCCAGAGTGAAGGTTACTCATCTTAAAATTTAGTATATTTTGATTGACAGGCTTGTGGTTGAACAAAGTGATGATCCAGTACTTGTAAAAATTAAGTCAAATAAAGAACAATGACTTTGACATGATTTTATTCTTCTTGATGGAGCTTTGATATTCAGAAACCACTTATGTGTACCTAATGATTTAGAGTTGAAGAAAGAAGTCTTAGAGGAGGCGCATTGTTCGGCATATACAGTTCATGCTGGATCTACAAAGATGTATATAGATTTGTGGGATTGGTGGGATAATATGGAGCAGGAGATTGTAGAATATTTGTCCAAATGCTTAGTATTCCAATAGGTGAAGATTGAGCTTTAGAAGCACGGTGAACTACTTCAACCTCTTCCAATTCCTATATGGAAGTGGGAGGATGTAATAATAGATTTTGTGACTGGTTTTCCTAGGAGTCAGAGTGGTAATGATACTACATGGGTGATTATTGATCATCTTACTAGATTAGCTCATTTCTTGCCTCACAAAATTACGCATTCTCTTGAGAAGCTTGCTGAATTATATGTTAAGGATGTTGTGAGATTACATGGGATACCAGTGATTATTATATTGGATAGAGACTTGAGGTTTCGTTACAGATTTTGGCAATGTCTAAATAATGTTCTAGGAACACAACTAGGTTTTATCACATCTTATCCATAGACAGACTTCACTACAAGAAATACAGTATTTAACGACCAAAATTAGTAAAGGGGTTAGTTGACCGTCGTTAATGTGCATATAATAACGACAAGTTTTTAAAGCCTTCGTCAAGTGATTACAAATATTATAGGAATGATGTGAGATGGGTGACGGTTTTCTAGTCCCTTCATTAATTTGTTCCTAATACCATCGTTATTGGGTCTTATTAAAGACGAAGGGGTCCATTACCTTCATTAATCTTAAGTCCCTAATGATAATAGGAATAGTAATTAAAATTAATATAAATAACCCAAAACCCAAATCATATTCTAACGCAACTCTATTTTTATGTATTTAACTAAACCCTAGATTAATTTTCATAACTACTAATATCACGTTTTATTAAATCTTCGTATTCAAACTTGAATCTTTTTCAAGTTGCACTGTAGGTTTTATTAAATCCCAGTCATCAATTTTCATTAAATCTTCATCTCCAACACGGGCGCCGCCGCCATGTGCCAACACGAATTGAATCTTCGTCTTCAAACTTCACCGCCGCCCTGTGCCAACGCCGCCCACCCCAGCGCCGCCTCTGCCTCAGCCCGCCCCAGTGCCCCCGCTGCTGACCCTCTCCGCCACTGCCGACCCGCGTTGGAGATCGTCGCCGCCCGCGTTGGAGATCGTCGCCGCGTTGGAGATCGTCGCCTCGCCGCCCCGCCGCCCCAGCAACGTCGTCGCCGCCCGCCCAAGCTCGTCGCCCCGTCGTCGGCGTCGGCCCAGCACCGCTTCTACATCCACGCTTGCCTCGTCGTCGCCACCGTGAAAAGCCAGCGACTGGAACTTGTAGTTTTGTAAATTTACACTCAAGTCCCCTATAGTTTATCCTACTTTGCACTTTTGCCTTAAAATACCTTTTATTTAAAAGTACCCTATAGTTTTGTTTGATGTAATTTCACTTGTGAATGTGTGATGCACCATTAAACAACATCTGATTTATAGACACCTAGCTTGGGTTTATACATTAGCTGATTGATTCTTATTTGAACCTTTGTGGAGTTTGTGATTTCAAGAATGTGAAGATTTCCATGTTGAACTTTCTTTCGACTTTTTAACATTTGAACTATCATTACATCAACAATTGAAAGAAACTCATGTTTGAACTAATGATAGCACCAACCCTTGGCTGATTTCATGCCATATATATTTATCAATTTAATAAAAAATATGGTTTAGTTTCGTAATATAAATTTTACTAATAATTATGCTTTACAAGTGGGAGTGTTGTGGTTATTAATATGTGAGTATAATCCTACATCGGATAGGATAATAAAGATGAAAGTGAACCAATTAATCAATAAACAGTTTACTTATTATTCATTCAGCTATTCGATCATATTTGATTCGCTATCTCATTTGACAGTAAATGCATAGCTATTAGTTATTCAGTTCATAAACAAATTGAAATTAACTAAATGTGTTTTGGATTTGCTTGGTCATTAAATATTCGTTCAAATTGAGACATAAGCTTAAATGGAAAAGACAATTTAGAGGGAAAATTAGTATAATGATGCTTTGGAGGGGATATTTGCAAATATATACAATGCTTGTTTGTACAAATAAAATATAGTCGATATTTATTAAACCACAATCTAATTATAAACTAATTATATTGTTTTTTTTTTGTTTTATAGAGTCGAATATCGAGCATTAGTACATTGCTTGGAAATGGCACCGAATAAAGATTGGATGGACCTAGTAGATGATGATAGACTTGATATAAAATATGTAGAAGGGGTTGATAAGTTTTTAGACTATGCATATGAGAAGTTGTTTAATGGTTTCAATCAAAAGAATGGCAACTTTGAAATTCGATGTCCATGTGTTAAATGCAGCAATGTGAAGTCTGGTAATCGTGAGTCGGTAAAGACCCACTTGATTGTTCATGGAATTATTAAAAACTACAGATTTTGGTGTCATCACGGCGAAAGACAGGGTGAGTCCATTTCGGAGGTTGATGAAGAACAAGAAGAAATGACAGAAGAAAGCCAGAGTGACGATGAAATGCAAGAAATGATTGGAGATTTATTTCATAATTCAGCTGGCGTTGTTGCACCTGATGCCACGTCGAGTCAAGATATTCTTGAGCAGGAACCAGATGGACAAGCAAAACAATTCTACAGTCTTTTAGGTGACTCCGAGAAACCTTTGTATGAAGGCTCTAAATGTTCAAAGTTATCTGCTTTAGTGAAACTACTTCACATAAAGAGCCTAAATAGGTGGAGTAATAAATCATTCTCATTGTTGCTCCAGTTTTTGAATGAGGATCTATTGCCAGGGGAATCAACACTGCCTAATTCGTATGACGAGGCCAAAAAATTAATCCGAGACCTTGGCCTATCATATGAAAAAATTGATTCGTGTCCATTCTCTTGCATGCTGTTTTGGAAAAATGAAGAAGGTCTTGATACGTGTCAGAGATGTGGTGCTTCTAGATGGAAACTTGATAAACATGGAAAAGAGATCAAGCGAAAGGCAAATGGTAAAAAAATACCACAAAAGACATTGCGATATTTTCCTCTTAAGCCACGATTGCAAAGGCTTTACATGTCTTCGAAGACAGCTTCTGATATGATATGGCACCATGAAAGACAAGTTGAGGACGGTGTGATGAGGCATCCAGCTGACTCTAAGGCTTGGAAAAACTTTAATGAGCTACATGAAAGCTTTGCCAAAGAGCCCCGAAATGTTAGGCTGGGTCTTGCAAGTGATGGTTTCCAGCCTTTCACAAATTCAAAAGTTTCTTATAGCATATGGCCTGTTTTACTTGTACCATATAACTTACCACCATGGATATGCATGAAGCAATCCAATTTTATTTTATCTATGCTCATTCCTGGTCCAACTGGTCCTGGAGATGCTATTGACACCTACTTACAACCATTGATAGAAGAACTAAAGGAGTTGTGGGCCTCAGGCGTTCGAACATATGATGTATCTCTGAGACAGAATTTCATTTTACGTGCAGCACTAATTTGGACCATTAATGATTTTCCTGCTTATGCAAATTTATCTGGATGGAGCACTAAGGGGAAATTAGCATGTCCTTGTTGTAATAAGCACACTCACTCTATCAGGTTAAAATATGGAGGCAAGCAGAGCTATATGGGGCATCGTCGCTATCTTGATGAAAATCACAGTTGGAGAAAGGATAAGAAATCATTTGATGGCACTAGGGAGAGAGGGTATGCAGCGCCGAAGCTGACCGGAGATGACATCCTTAAGCAGGTGGAAGATCTTATAGGGATCACCTTGACCAATCATCCAGAGAAGAAAATTAAAATATCACACGAAAGAGCGGGGAGATAATTGGAATAAAAAAGTATTTTTTTTGATTTGCCATATTGGAGAACTCTCTTATTGCGACATAATTTAGATGTCATGCATATTGAGAAGAATATTTGTGATAGTTTGCTGGGAACAATCATGAACAATAAAGGAAAGACAAAGGATAATATCAAAGCCCGTCTCGATTTACAAGCAATGAGTTTAAAACCAGAGTTACATCCAATCCAGAGAGGAGATAAACTTATGATGCCAGCAGCTTGTTATACTTTATCCCAAGAAGAGCAAAGCAAATTTTGTCGATTTCTAAAGGAGTTAAAAGTTCCAGATGGATTTTCATCCAATATTTCTCAATGTGCAAACCTTAAAGAGCGTAAGATTTTGGGGTTAAAGAGTCATGACTGTCACGTTCTTTTGCAGCGCTTGATTCCTGTATCGATTCGTAGCCTTCTTCCTGCAAAAGTGTGTGAACCAATTATTGAACTTTCCATATTCTTCACTATATTATGTGCCAAGACATTAAGGGTGGATGAACTAAAGCAAATCGATGAGCAGATTCCACTGACGTTATGTAAGCTTGAGAAGATTTTTCCACCTTCAATTTTTGATGTTATGCTGCATTTAGTAGTTCATTTAGCATCTGAAGCCATACTTGGAGGGCCTGTTCGATTTCGATGGATGTACCCAGTGGAGCGTCAGCTTTATACTTATAAGTCATATATCAGAAATAGGGCACGTCCAGAAGGGTCAATTGCTGAAGGATATATAGCAGATGAATGCATGACACTTTGCACAAGATATCTAAAAGGCTTCGAGACAAAGTTTAATAGCCTTGAAAGAAATTATGAAGATGACAATAGAGAATGTAATGAAGCACAACTATCTATTTTCAGACATAGTGGATGGGCATTGGGTGCTGCCACCACCCGCTACCTTGATGAACGTGAGTGGTTGCAAGCTCATATTTATGTTCTAAAGAACTGTGATGAAGTACAACCACACATTGAGTAAGTCACTAAAGTTTAAGATTCTACTAATAAATTTACTATAGTTAGTCAACGTTAATCATATTTATGATATTTTAATGTAGGGACTACAATGAATTCGTGAGAGAACCCACAAATCACTATGATGATAAAGATTGGGATAAGATCTTTATCGAGTGGTTCCAAGCTCTAGTACGTACATATCTTGCCTTATTTTTTTAATATATTGATTGGTTCATTTTATTACATGTTCCATGACTTGATCATATTTTGGTTTTGTTTAGGTTTATCAGAGTTATCGAGAAGATGATGACTTACTTTCATTATCTCGTGGTCCAAGTAAGATTGTTAAATGTTTTATTGGATTTGTCATAAATAAAAATCGATTTCATACAGAAAGTCGAGATAATTGTTTGTCAACTCAAAATAGTGGGGTTGCGGTTGTTGGTGATGCTAGTGATGGTGGAGATATAGATTATTATGGTGCTTTGGTTGAAGTTGCCGAATTAGAGTATCCTGGTAGAAGAAAGGTTGTTCTATTTCGTTGTAAATGGTGGGATGTGCACGACAAAGGAAAAGGGACCGCTTTGAAAGAAAACAAATAGGGATTTATCAGTATTAACTGCCGACACTTGCTAAAGACGAATGAACACTTTATACTTGCTGGCCAAGCATCACAAGTTTTTTATGTTGAGGATATTGCCAATGAAGGTTGACATGTAGTTCTTAAAGCACAACCCCGTGATTCCTATGATATGCCACCAGATACAGATGATTGTGAGATAACAGACGATGGAGTTGAAGCTTATTTGCAAGATGAATCATTTGATGCTCAGGCTATTGCATCAACATCATTGGAAGATGATTATATCAATTTGAGAAGGAGTGACATTGATCCAATTATTGTAAATTCGGTCTCAACTTCAAAAAAGAGGAAAAAGACTCAAGCAGAGAATTAGAACGCTTTAATTAAAGAATAGAACACAAATGATATTGTGTTATTAAGATAAATTTCTATTTCTGGCTAGCCTTAAGTTATTGTGCATTGCTACTAGATTTTGTGTTTTTTCTCCCTGGGGTACATAGCTGACAACCTCCTTGTCATCATTATAGCAGCAATTCCGTTTCCAGTTTTGTGGAATCTGTTATCTAAGGATACCTTCAAATAATATGCTTTGATCAATTAATGTATAACCAGTTATCTATAGTTATTGTAGTTTCCAGCAGCATTTGAACAAAATATGATAAATATGTCTTTAGTGTAAGATTGTACTTGCTCGCATGCTTGACAATTATTAACATATAGCTTCAGAGTACTATCATCCATAACCATCAAACTCTATTCCAACTGTTTAAGCTCCATTTTATGATTCCTTTGCCAATCATCCTATAATAACTTCTACTTTAAATAGTATATGTTTATAATCAAGCTGTGTCCTTTCTACTTCTGTGTTATCAAGAGCTTGTTATTGTTAAAATTACCTTGTGTTAGTTGTTGACTTCGGAGAAATTGATAGAATGAGATCAATGTGGCAACCAATAGCTATATATTTTGTATGATAAAAGCTAGTTTCGGGATTTGAACATAAATCAATAACTAAATAAGCAAGTAAATAAATAAACAACCGAATCACAGAAGTAAGCTCTGGTTAAAAGTAGTCCAAGGTGAAAGCATGTATTATGTATTTATTATTATGCTTGTTCTTGGGGTTTCTTTTTCTTTTATTCATTTCTCTTTTGACATTTGTTTTATACATAGTGTATGATACTTAAATTCCTATTCATAGCAGAAAAATGAAAACTCAAGAAGTCACTTCCAAAAGTTAAATTCCTATTCATAGCAGAAAAATGAAAACTCAAGAAGTCACTTCCAAAAGCAAAAGAGCACAATTTCTAGCACCCAGGTCATTAATTAGGAAGCAACTTCAAGCACTGGCAGAAAATTCATTAAGAAAGGAACAACTCTGTACTTGTCATGACAAGAACTTGAATATTCAAAATCCAATACAAGATCAAAATATGGGTACAAATTTTAGTGCTGATTCAGAAAACTTTGAAGAGGAGAATTTTGCACAAAATCGCAGGAGAAGTGCAAATACTAACAATGAAGAGAATGATGATTCTGCAGGTTGATGAGACTTAAAATTTATTGTTATTTCTTTTTTATCTTTCAATTTATTTTTTTATGATTGGATTAATAATTGCCCAATATTTTGCAGAATCAAATAATCATAGAGTGCAAAGTGATGATGTAATACTAAATGAATCTCGACAAGAAGGTATATTCTTTATTAATTACAAGATTATTTTCAATTTAATTATAATATAAAATTTATAAGATATATTGGAAATTAATTTTTTGCAATGTGTTTTTAATTCTTATAAATTAAATTTTGATTCAAATTTGATATAGGATAAATTTGATGCTGAGGACATGGAGCAAAAGAGAGAGTTAGTAATGAGACACTTGCGCGATTTGTGGTATAAGTGGCGTGGTGACATGCACAGGAAATATGTGAAAGAATATTCATTACAAGTTGCACTTAGAAATAAACCTACAGAAGTGAGTGTTGATGACTGGGATTGGCTAGTTAAGGAACATTATTTTTCTTCAAAATTTCAGGTATTAATCTCCTAATTTTATTAATTTTGTTCCATGTATATTGTTGGATTGTTGAAATTATCTTTTAATCTTGATGTATAAAAAGCAAGCCAACAAAATACACTTAACAGAGGCAAAAGAAAGATGAAAGATGCTCCACCACACGGGCAGCAAATCCTTTAGACAAATTGCGTGGGAATTGGTATACATTCAAAACTAATTTCTTATTTATTTATAACTACTTTGTTTTTTAGTTTGATGTTGTACTCATTTTTATTTAATATTTGAATAAGGGTGGCAAGTCAGGAAATCCACCTGATGTGGCAAAAATGTTTCATGAAACTCGAAAGAAAGCTAATGAAACACTAGAAAATGGGGATCAAGATAAATATGTAAGTAGAATATGTGTTTAAGTTTGATAATGATGCATTATATAGTACTAACATATGAATTTAATTTTTATAGGATGAAATTGTTCAAGTCAAACAAGCAAACCCTTCACTTTCTGACATTGAGATAGTTGAGAAAATCTGGGGGAAGCAATCTCATGGTCACATTACTGTATTTGGTGGCGAGACTACTTTAAAAGATTTGAGAGGACCGCTCCCTAGTCGATCTGATCTGGAAGCACGGGTTATATAAGAAAAGAGAAAGAACCAGATGCTTCAACAACGCTTAGATGAGCAGGAGCAACAACAACAAAGGATGTCTGAGTTGGAGTCACAAGTGAAAGCTATGCAAGAACTTTTTTTTAGGCAATCACCTTCATTGACTCCTCAAACTCGAGAACATGTGCAGGACTAGGTAATTATTTTTTGTAAAATCTCTTATATACTTTTATGATTGACTACTTGCACTAAAAAAATATGATTTTTACTTAATAAGATAATATTTGCTTCATTAATATTTCTTAATTGTGATTTTTTTTTTAATTTTTCAGGCTATCCATGCAAGATTAGGAGGGGGTAGCTCGAGTCTTCTTTTGACGATGATTAGAGGTGTCAGAGATGTGTCTTCCCCAAACTTTTATTTTAATTTGTTTTAGATAGTTTCATGTATTTTTCTTTGGAACAATTAGGATATTAACTCTTATTATTAGTATTGAATATTTGAGGATGGTGGAATTTTATTTATTGATGTTATTAATGAATGGAATTTTTATTTTACCTCTTATTCATTATTGGGTATTTTTAATATGTTTTTGTTGTGAATCTTAGTGTTTGGTTGAGAATAATATGATAGTTACCTATGAATGAAAAATTTATTATTAATGTATATTAGAAATTTGTAGTCTACAATGACGGTTTTATAAACTGTATTTTGTTCATCAACGAAGGGAAAGCACCGTCGTTGATGGGTTACTAATTACCCATTATGTGGACTTTTACGACGGTATCCAACCGTCATTAATTAGTCTTCAACAACGGGAAAATATC